TCTCCATATCTCTTCAATATTGTACTTGAAGTTCTAGCTACAGCAATAAGACAACAAAAGGAGATAAAGGGGATACAAATAGGAAAAGAAGAAGTCAAACTTTCACTATTTGCAGATGATATGATAGTTTACATAAGTGACCCAAAAAACTCCGCAAGGTTACTCCTAGAGCTGATAAACACCTGCAGCAATGTGGCAGGATACAAGGTAAACTCAAAAAAATCAGTGGCCCTATTATATACAGATGATGAAGTGACTGAGAAAGAAATCAGAGAAACATCACCCTTTACAATAGCCAAAACAGCATTAAATATCTGGGGATAATGTTAACCAAGGAAATTAAAGGCCTGCATATCAAGTACTTTGTGTCTTTAAAGAAAGAAATCAAAGAAGATACCATAAAATGGAAAGATCCCCCATGCTCTTGGATTGGTAGGATCAACATAATAAAAATGGCAATCTTGCCAAAAGCAGTCTACATATTCAATGCAATCCCTATCAAAATTCCATCACAATTCTTCAAGGACCTGGAAAGAACGTTAATCAACTTTATATGGAAAAACAAAAGGCCCAGGATAGCTAAAACATCCCTATACAATAAAGGAACTTCAGGAGGCATCACCATACCTGACTTCAAGCTCTATTATAGAGCTATAGTCCTGAAAACAGCTTGGTATTGGCACAAAAATAGGCAGGTAGACCAATGGAACCGAATCGAAAGCTCTAATTTTAACCCACACACCTATGAACACTTGATTTTTGACAAAGAACTGTACAATGGAAAAAAGAAAGCATCTTCAACAAATGGTGCTGGCATAACTGGGTACTGGTATGCAGAAGACTGCAGATAGATCCATGTTTATCGCCTTGTGCAAAACTTAAGTCCAAATGGATCAAAGATCTCAACATAAACCCAGCCACACTGAAACTTTTAGAAGAGAAAGTGGGAGATACTCTTCAACGAGTTGATACAGGAGACCACTTCCTAAACATAACACCAGTGGCACAGGCACTGAGATCGACAATTAACAAATGGGACCTTCTGAAACTAAAAAGCTTCTGTAAGGCAAAGGACACAGTCAAAAGACAAAAAGGCAGGCCACAGAATGGGAAAAGATATTCACTAACCCTACATCTGACAGAGGGCTAATCTCCAAAATTTACAAAGAACTCAAGAAACAAGTCTCCAAAACACCAAGGGATCCAATTAAAAGGTGGGATACAGAGCTAAATAGAAAATTCTCAGTAGAGGAGGGTAAAATGGCCAAGAGACACTTAAGAAAGTGCTCAACATCCTTAGCCATCAGGGAAATGCAAATCAAAACAACTCTGAGATACCATCTTACTCCTGTCAGAATGGATAAAATCCAAAACACCGAAGACAATTTATGCTGGAGAGGATGTGGAGAGAGAGGAACACTCCTCCACTGCTGGTGGGAGTGCCGACTCAGACAGCCTCTTTGGAAATCATTATGGAGATTCCTCAGGAAAATGGGAATTAATATACCACTAGACCCAGCAATTCCACTCTTAGGCATATATCCAAATGAGGCAAGTTCATACAACAAGGGCATCTGCTCCACTATGTTCATAGCAGCATTATTTGTAATAGACAGAACCTGGAAGCAACCTAGATGCCCCTCAACTGAAGAGTGGATAGAGAAAATGTAGTACATTTACACAATGGAGTATTACTCAGCAGAAAAATCAATGGAATCTTGAAATTCGCAGGTAAATGGATAGCACTGGAAGAAACCATCCTGAGTGAGGTAACCCAGTCGCAAAAAGACAAACATGGTATGTACTCACTCATATATGGATATTAGACATGGATCAGGATAGTGCCAGTCTGCACTTCCACTGATAGAGAGTCTGGGAAACAGGAAAGAACCCAAAAATATGCATATATGCAGAGTACCCAAGAGAAGAGGATGGAGACAAGATCCCCTGAATGGATGGGGAACACGGTGAGGGGTGGGGGGGTAGTGGGACCTGGGAAGAAGAGAGGGGGTGTAGAGGAAGAGAGTTGGTCATGGGGGAACAGGAATTTGAGGGGGTGGGGGTAGAATAGGGGGAAGAAGGAATCATAGGATTGAATACAGATCAGGCACCAGAGCGACCTCGAGTGATCTAAAGGGATAACACCAATTGGCAAGCTAAGCAATAGTGGAGAGACCACCTGAATGCCCATTCCTGATAATGAACATGATGTCTATAACCATCTGGGTGCCTTCATCCTGTGACTGATGGAAGCATAGGCAAACACACAATTAATCACTGTACTGAACCCAAGGAACCCAGTGACAGAGAGAGAGAGGAGTGATGAGTAAATTGGCAAAGAATGGGCTGGCAAAACCAGCAGAGACAGCTAATCTGAACAGGGGAGAGCTCTTGGACCCCAGACCGACAGCTGGGAGGCCAGCATGGGAATGATCTGGATCCCCCAAATGTGAGTGTCATCGAGAAGGCCTGGGCAACCTATGGGGCCCTGAGCTGTGGATCAGTGTCTATCCCTGGTATACAAACAGTCTTCGTGTGCCTATAGCACAAAGAGGAATGCTCTCTCAGCCTGGACTCTTAGGGGAGTGCCTGGACCCTACCCAGAGTAAAATGTCAGGCTCTAGATATCCCCTATGTGGAAGGATTTGGCAATAGGGTGGGAGGGTGGGGGGGGGCGAAGGGGAGTGCGATAGGAGGGGAGGGAAAGGGAACTGGGATTGACATGTAAAACAAGCTTTTTAAAATTAAAATAAAAAATGATAAAAAGCAACAGAAACCATAATAAGAGTACAAAGATGATGTGTTTGGAACTACAGGAACATGCTGGACTCAGTGGTGTCACACAACTGAAAATATTTGTCTCCTGTATCCAGTGTTCATCCCTAGTCAATAGCTCATGATAGAGTCCCATGAGTCTTTACCTGACCCATAATTGACTGTTGACAGGCCCAGTAATTTATAGACACAGTACAGGTTGCAACAATCACCTTTTCAAAGTCAGTGTTATGCACAGAAGATAACATTTGCTGACCTGCCCAAAATTCTGCCTCTTACCATCTTTCTTCTTCCCTTTCAATGATATACACATGTAGCAATATCCACCATGTATCTCTTCCCATGTCTCTATAAATGACATATATCCATGTCGTCACTCATCAGGTCAGTTATCCTATCAACAGCTTCAGTTGCTTCTACACGTCTTCATATGCTTACTCACAACAAAGTCTATTCAAAGTTTTCCATCAATTTGTAGACTTCATCAAACTCTGCTGAATTTACCGCAGGTTCCACAGAGATAAGAAATGTCCTCTCTTGATGTGGGTCTGCTTCTTATCTTTCTAAAATGTGTTTTGCATTGAAAGAATTATATCACTTTCCCCCTCACTTTCTGCTGTTTGACCCTCCCTGATGCCATCCCCTGAGGCTTTCCAATTCCCCTAATCTCAAAATGATAGCCTCTTTTCCTTTGCTTATCACTAACCTATATTTGTACATGTGTGTGCTCATCCATACATGAATTCAATCTGGTGAATTACGTTTCTGTTGATGCTTGTGTGTATATCATTTCAGAGTATCAATCCATTCTCAAGAAAGCATACCTTCATGGCAACTGGAGGTAATCACATCTGTACACAATGCAGATATCAATAGATAATGGGTATTTCAGCCCCAACAGATAAATCTGCATCACAGATCCTGCATCTGTGACCCTAAGAACACCACAAAAGAGGGAACAGATATGTGTAAGAGGCAAATTATCAGGATGTCACCAATGAGATCAGCTTTCCTAGAAATGTCTAAGGAAATGTCATGATTCTTCTTCAAGAGATGATCAAAATAATAACAATTCTGTATAAAATAACATATTAATATGCAAAGGTAAATGTTTCATGGTGCCCCATGACTTGACAGACAACTACTGTCAACTAATGACCACTAGCAAAAGAACAATTAATCTCTCTGAGGCATGAGCCTCTGAAATTTTTCAGATAAATACATTACCATTGTAAGTGCTATTCATTATCCTACTACTACAGGAGAAGGTATGATCTCTTAACATATTAAATTCTGTCACAAATGTAATATCATATTTTCTTGTATTTGTGGTCAAAATTGTTGGGATTAAATGTCCACAACAACTAACCCAGATTTTATTTGTACTTATTAGTTTTCAATTATCTTATTTACTTATTTGTGTGGACAGTACACCAAGGGGTTAGATGGAGATCAGAGAAAAACTCTATGGAGTCAGTTCTCCTTCAACTATGTGTGTCCTGATGATTAAACTTAAGATATCAGTCATAGTAGCAAGTGACTTTGTCTGCTGAGATATCTCACTGGCCTTAGTTTATTCACTTATTGTTTGAGACAGGAATTCTCTATATATCCCTGGCTGTCCCAGAACTTACTATGGTAAGGCAGGTTGGCCTCAGACTCTGAGAATTTTACAATCTCTACCTGGTAAGTACTTAGATAAAAAACATTGACCACTGACCCCATCTCTATTTTATTTATTTACAAATAGGGTCTAGTGTGTTTTAGTCTGCCCTCTTACCCCTATGGCGTATAGCTGAAGATTAGTTATATTGACCCTCCTGTCAACACCTCCAAAGTGCTTGTGTTTATGGTGGGTACCAACACATCTGGCCTTTGGTGTCTAATGTTTGAAACATGTTACACTTTGTACTACAAGGTAGCATGAAGTGCAATAGGCATCCCAATATGGTCACAAAACAAAGGCAATTAAACTGCCTCAGCCTCCCTTGGGATGGAATTATGAGTCTGTGCAACCATGAATGTAAATTTTCCCATTTCATGGCTTTGATGAATATTGTCATTAAAATTTATTTTTTAATTTAAAGTTGCTTCATAAGATTCTGTCTTTTTCATATTTTTATTTGACTTTTTATACATGTCACTCTCAGTTCCCTCTCCCTACCCTCCTCCCCAACCCCTCCAATCCTCCCAATCCCTGAACCCCACTCCATGCCCCCTCTGATCATTAAAATTTATGAATTTAAGACTTCCCTTATATTTAATCTCATTTCACTTGATAATTTTATAATTTCATGCCTTATTTCCAAAATGTGTGAGGTTAGTTAAATTGCAGTGAGGTTTGCCAAAACTGCCACAATGCCTTACAGTTCTCTGTTAGGCATCATCATTGTAGGCAGTGAGTCATCAGTTTTTGTTCTTGGGAATGGCCCCTGGGTTAATGATTGCCAGAGCAGCATATACGTTGACTCCTCTGGGACATCCCCTGCCAGGGAGAGTGGAGATACAGCTTCCTCCTGGCTGTGTGTCATATGGAAGGGGTGGACACAGGTCATATCCTCGAGCTCTTCAGATATTTCATCCTGGAGCAGGAGAGAGTGAAAGGAAGTTATATGGACTGGGGGACACTGCAGGGCTAGGGAGGAACAGGAAGCATCTGAGTGTCCATCTCTGTGCCATCTTTGACTTGTCATTCTTTGGTTTCCAAGAATTCTCCTGACACGACAGAAGGTAGGACAGCTCCACCCCTCCTGAGTGTTTTCACATTGGCATATACATGTTCCAGTAGGCCTATCTCAGCTGGTCTCTGTAGCAGAGAAATAAAGAGGTATAGATATTGTCCCACTGTCTCCTGGGGATCCCAACTGGCCAGTTTTCCACAGCATGAACAGACTGAACAGTTTAGGCTTCCATACTACAGTCCTGATCTCTTATCCTGACACTCTAAACTTTGTTGTCTTGACTCCAGCTACACAATCCAACTTCCAGAAACAAATGATTCTAGGAGCTGGAGAGATGGTTCAGTATTTAAGAGCACAGACTGCAATTGAAAAGGATCCGGGTTCAGTTTCCACTACCCACAAGATGACTTAAAATCATTTGTTATTCAGTTTCCAGAGAATCTGTCATGTTCTTCTGGACTCTGTGGCACTAGGGAGATAGGATCTATACATGCAGACCAAACACCCATACACAGAAATGACCTACAAAACTCAACCCCATATTTCTGCCCAATTTACTTTGTCCTGCTGTGTCCCCTGCCTGCAGTTGCTGGTCCCTTAGATGTAACTTGGACTTGTCCAAGTGGGTTTCCACCTCAGAATACACTTTTCCAGGGACTCCCTTGTAACTCACACTGGCCCTTTCTTTTCACAAATACTTCACCCTCTGTTCTGTTTGTTTTAGTGAAACACATTATACTGCATACATTCTCCAGTTATTACCATATTGCCTAATACTGGTTGGGGAAGGTGCTCTTAGCTCTAACTCTGACCCATGCAGGAAGTCTGGTAAGGAAGAGATTTCTTGGGACAGCTGTGTGAGTGAGTAGAGGGAATGGGGGCATCTGGACTCATTTTCCCCTTTGATCTCTGGGTTCCTAGGCACACATGAACAACTACACAAATGCTGAGGAGCCAGAAAGGGGACATGAGGGAGAAACCAGCTGCTTCCAAGAATATCAGAGCAGAGTGAAGCCAAAGCACATAGGAGGCAGATGGTGCTCACTAGGGGGAGTGGGAGTGTATGTTGATGAAGGCTGAGAAATTAAGAATAAAAAATAACCCCTGGACCACTTGGGGCACTAGTAGTGCATATAGGGACAGGGACCTCACCGAACTGTTAATCTCCACACCAAGCTCAGGCTGCATGTCCTCCACTGAAGCATCTGTCATAGAAGAACAAACATTGTTTAGGGGGAAGAGTCTAGGGATGACTCAGATCCCTAGTATCCTGAAGTGTCCCAAGTGGGAATGGAGAACATGGCATGCTTTGATGTCTTTGAGTTCATAGTGTAAAGTGAAGACCAAATAGCAAAGACCCCAGAGCCCCTCCACCCCCCATAATACTGAGTCCTCAGACATTTCCATCCCCAGAACCCTTTTTTTCTCACAAACGATTTCTTCCTGGGTGGCAGCAGCTGGGTTTGATCTGAAGAGAAAAGAAGATGTCAATTGGCATCAAGTTGTGTTAGGTAGGCAGGGCTATGCCTATTGTTACCTCTTCTGGGGGCCTCTGACCTGGTTACTGGTTCTGAAGCTCCTGGATAAAATTGCAGTTCTGTCTCTTTCTGAGCTGAAATAGAAATATGATGTCTGAGCTAGGAGCATAGTAAGCTCTTAGCCCAAACTTTCTCAGGCAAGGAAGGATGGGGCTTTTATATCACATGGATGAGTTAGCATATTTCCCAGGATATGATCAATTTGCCAGAACAGCTGAAATTCCACAGGTTCTGATACCACCTGCTTTGAGATCTAAGATCTGCAAGAATGTCTGTGTATACTGTACCATTTTGAGATTTCCCAGCTACTAGTGTCCTGATCCTCTTCTTGAATGGTCCACAGGGACGTCTACAATAATCTGAGTCCCAGGTTAATCACAAACTACACACCTTCCTTCCTGACTTTGCTCTTTTTCCTTTTCCGTAGGACAATGATGAGGATGAGGAGGAACAGGAGGAAGACTGCAGACACAGCTACGCTGTAACTCCCAAGACCTGAGGAAAAAATGATATCATGTGTGGGATGGTAGATACTTACCTGAGCACCTTCTGTGTGCCAGGCTCATGATGGAACTTTTAAACTATCATCCCCCATCCCCATAATGATGTAGCATGGAATTATCTGTTTTGCTATCAAGTAGGTTCACCTGACTGAGATCCCCTTATTTGGAAGTGACAGAGCTGGGATTTGAAAACAGGAACTCAGGCTCATAGCAATGATCTTCCCACCAAAACTGAGCCACATGAGATGGAGGGAAGGAGTCTGCAGCCTTGTCACTGTGTGGGGTAGAAACACTGGAGAATCTGCTATTTGAGAGGGCTCCTCTGTCAGGAGGGTGCAAGTCAGCCCTTCAAAAGAAATTATGTATGTGGGAAAGGCCTAACCCTTTATACTCAGAGAAACAACGGCAAGTTCAGAAAGGGAAGTGATCGTCCCATTACTATCTCCAGAATGTGAGGTATCAAGCCCATTTCTGGCTATTGCCCAATGGGGCTCACCTCCCAACACAATCTTTACTAGGCCTCTGGAGTGGGACCCCATGCATGTGAATGGTTTGTTCTCAGAGCATTCATAGCAGGATGTTGACGTAAGTGTCAAGGTTCCCTGCTCTCCACCTAACCCTCCTTCATTCCCAAGGCTGAGCCTAAACATCTCTCTATCTCTGGATGTCCTCTTTTGTAGTCTAAACTGAACCCTGGATTTCTCATATCTGTGTTGGGATTGCTGTTTGCACTCACAAGATGAAATATCCAATAAATGAGGACTTAAGTGGCGTAAGACCTCTGAGGCAGCCTGTGGATGGAACATACTCCCTACACAAGGGTGCTTTACACTTACCAGCTGCTGGCCAGGGCTTTAAGGGTGTAATATTGGAGGCTTCGGTGGGCTTTACGGGTGGAAGGCTGGAGGCTTCCATGGGCTTTAAGGGTGGAAGGCTGGAGGCTTCCATGGGTTCTAGGAAACAGATCAAGGAGAGGATGAGGGTTTGATGATAACCCAGGGATCCCGACTCTAATCACTGTCCTATATCTGCACTGTAACATCCCCAGGATCCTCATGCTATCTACCAGAATCCTAGGGAACAGCAAAACACGAAGTGGACAATGTTCAAAGGACCCTGTTGCCATCCACTTCTCTGCCAGGGAAAGTGCCTTCTGAGTAACCCTTCCTGTTGTCCCCATAATCTCACTCAAGAAAAGAGCTCTTCTAGGATTTGAATTTTAAGTCACTCTGAGAAGTCAGGATCACCTCACCTGAGACAGAGAACTCCACAGGGGCACTGGCATGTGACAGCAGGTAGGGAGATGACTCAAGAGAACTGTAGCACCTGTACTTTCCTGAGAGGGCAGAGGTCACACCAATAATGGACAATTCTGCCTGGAAACGATGATCTTGGAACTTTGATTTTAGTTGTTTGAGTAGGTGGTTTTTTCCCTCCTTGTGCAGAATGAAAGTGTCAGTTGGGTATGTTGACCAACATAGAAAGGTCACATTTTGTCCTGGATGCACTGTTGACTTAGGCTTCACTGAGAGGACAGGAGTGAACGGAAGCTGTCCTAAAGAGAAGAGGGAGGATGATGAGAGGCCACCTTTATTGCCCTCACCAAGGCTTCACCTGGATCTTTCCTGAGCACCTTGGACTCTGTCTGTCTTCTCTGACTGAATTCCCCTTCTCCTTTCCCATCTCTACATGACTTCTCCATCCCTTGTCCTAGCCATCACCTCTCAGGCTCCCCATGAAAGGCTATGCAGGGGCTGTGATCTGCTGAAATCTAAGTGTTTCCTCACCTGTGACCCTGATGTCTAGGGGGTCACTGGAGGCTGACCACACAGAGGAGAGGTTGTGTGCACCATAGCATCTGTATTGGCCTCCAGTAGAGCTGTTCCCAGAGCCCAGTGTGAAGTTGGCCAAGGAGAGGCCAGCCCGGGTCCTCTGGCCATTCTTCTGGATGAAGTGAGCTTCCCCCAACTTGTGCAGAAAAAATCTGCTATAGTCCATGTCAGAGCAACACTGCAGAGTGAGATACTTCCCAGGATCCAAGATACTACCATGATGAGTTAGCAAAGACGGCTTCTTTGACAGCCCTATAAGAAAGGTGACAGGCTATTGTCTAAGGAGCAGCTTTTAACAAAACACATATCAGCTCCCCTCCCACCCTGCATGTGTCACTGTTTCTTTCTGGCTGTGGGGATCTGGCTTAGACAGTAGATTCTTTCTTTAGTCACTCTCTCGTAACAACCTCACCTGGTTTCAATACCTGGAAGAGATTAGTACCTCATCAAGATTGGCCAATGATGGGGATATCTCACCTGAGATTTGTATTTCCAATGGATCACTGGATACTGACCACAGCTTTGGGATATGCTTGTAGTAACCATTACATCTGAATTTCGCTCTGTAGGCTGGTGTAACAGGACTCATAGAGAATGTGGCTTGGAAGTGACCATTAGTGTGTATATACTGTGAGTCCAGGGAACTGGAGAACTTCTCATGTTCTTTGGTGACAATGAACTTATTATATCTATGCTCGGAGACACACTGGAGAGTCATGCTTCCTCCTGAGGTTGCCACAGGCCCTGACAGTGCTGATAGTCTTGGTTTACTGGGGAGGAATCCTATATGAAAAGAACAAAGCCTTTCACATGGGTTTACATCCAAAATGTTACGCAGGGCTAGACTGTGAGGAGGGAATGCTGAGGGCAGAGCCTAGCTCTGAGAATCTGACTGTTCCCTTACCTGTAACCACAATCTCCAGGGTGTCACTGTGCTCTGACCAGCCAGCTGAGGTATAACAGTAACACTGATATTGTCCTACATGTTCCTTTGTCACAGAAGGGATGAAGAATTTGGCCTTTTCCCCAAACTCCTCTGTGGACTCTGTGCCCCAGAGTTTTGGGCTTCCCTGCTTATGCAGAACATACAGTTGTGCGTCCAGTCTCCCCTGACACCAGATGGTCACAGAGCTTTTGTAGGCAATCACAGTGCCTGGCTCAGCTTTGATGATGGGCTTGGGGAGGGTCCCTGCAAAAAGTAGGAGAGAAGGACATGGTTTTGCTTGATAGTAGCACAGTTGATGTCACGCGTATAGATGGCACTTCAGCTGGTGCTGAGTAGCATAAAGTCCCATGAAGATTTAAATCTGCCCTGAACATCCTGGGTTTTTCTGCTAATTTCTCTCTTGGATTTTGTATCTTGGATCCCTCAGTCTCCAATGATCTGTGTCAAGACTGAAGGGCCCTGCCTCCTCACACACATCTCCTACCAGGCCCAACCTCAGGACCTGTATCACGTCAACATCATTCTGTGGAAAGTTTTTGCTTCCTCACCTGAGACCACGAGCTCCAGGATGTCACTAGGTTCTGACCACACCTGTGGTCTATTGCTGTCAAAGCTGTGGCATCTGAATGTCCACCTTTGGCTGGAGGTTACAGGACCCACAGAGAACAGGGCCTGGAAATGCTTAATAGAGTAGTTATACTGTGAGTCCAGCATCCAAGAGCGCTTCTGTGGTCCTTCCATAGTCAGAATGAGTCTGTGAAATTTCTGCCCTGAGTAACACAGTAAAGTGGCATTCCCTCCTTCAGTGACTATGGGGCTGGGCTGGACTGACAGACTTGGTTTACTGTAGGCTCCTGGAAGAGAAACAGGATTCAGTTAAATCTGTCAGGTCTCATTTTCCTCCAGGGTTGTGAAGTGTTCCCTCCCCTCCTGAGAACAGGCTCATTTTTGACAGTGAAGCCTGAGGATAGGAAGAGTTTTGTTCTCTCACCTGTCACCACCAGCTCCATGGAGTCACTGCACTCTGATTGTCCATCATGGGTCTTATAGCAACAATGATATTGCCCTGCGTGATGCTCCTCAATTTTTGAGATGGAGAATTCAGCCGTTTTTTGAGACTTTTGTAGAAACTGTATGAACTGTGTGTATTTACCATCATCTTTGGAGATATTATACTCTTTCGTTCCTGTGATCCCCTCACACATGAAGGTCACATTAGTCTGCCTGGCAACCACAGAGTCTGGCTGTACTCTGAGGATAGGCTTCGGGAGTGTCCCTGCAAGGAAAATAACATCTAGGATCAAACATCCTCAGATTGAAGGTGTCAACCACATGACCTTATATACAAACCAAGGACCAGCACACAGGCCTTGTTTCCCATCCTCATTGTCCTGGCCTGGCTTCAGGGTACTATAGGTGCAGCAGGACAGGACAGTGGCAAATACTCACCTGCCAGCACTGCTGTGTTATAGCCAAGAGTCAGCCCTGGAAGAGAGTTACCTGTGAGATGGTTTTCCCTGAAGCCTGATATTCTCCCTTTAGCAGAACCTCCCAAGTCCCTGGGATTTCCTGATGGGTCACTGCTGGGCCATGGCAGTGTACCTATCTTACAGTTTCCCATCCCCATCTCCACATCTCACCCAGAAAGAGCAGAGCTGTGAAGGCGAGCATCATTGTGTCTCCTCCTGCAGGTCGGAACTGTATTTATGGGCAGAGCTAGAGAGGGACTGGAAACTAGGGTGTGACCTCTGGAGGAAACCACTCCTGATGCTCCTCGTGGCATGGATGTGGTTAACAGCCCCTAAGTAACGGATACTGCCTTCCTCAGGCACCTGGCATTGACTTCCCCAGTGCTGTGTCTAATCCAGGATCTAGAACCTTGCAATCAATTCTTACATAGATAATATTTCCACAAACTTCTAAATGTCTGTGTCATCTGTTTTCAGGATACTCGCATCATACTGTAGCAGACATGTATGAATATTTCAAATAACAATTACAAATTGTTTACTGTAGGCTCCTGGAAGAGAAACAGATCCCAAGAATAAGTCGTTCTGAATGGCCCCAGTCTAGAGAATTTGCCCAGGAAACATAAGGGGGTACACTTTTCATCTTTAGAGAGTGTTATTCAGTGATAACCAACATCAGAAAGACACTTGAGTGGCATTTTCTCAAGTGTCCAGGACAGATCCTTTCTGGGACACTAGTGAATTTCTGGATAGCACTGTAAGTTGATTCTTCTTCTACACCTGACCTCTCTCACTCTCTGATGAAGGTTTCCTCCCCTCTCACACTGATAAAGAGAACTCAGTTCCAAGCTGTTACATTCCATCTTTGGCTTTCCTCAGTACCTGGCTCGTAGAAAGACTTTCAGGTCTTTAAATAATTGATTCAGCATCGGGTCTTCCTCAACTTCAACTCGAGATACAGGGTGTTAGTGGGTGGTGACCACATCTGTGGTTGTATCCTTCCAGTAGAAGGAGCATATGCACATACTAATGTGAGTCAGAATTTGTGGTCCCAGAATGAACAAGTTGTGTGTATATGGTGAAGGTGTGAGTAAAGCTGCAAGAACACACATTGTGTGTTCTTCTCCACTGCACATAATGAAGCTCTCAAAACTGTATGTAAACAACACTAGGGGATCATTGTCCCTCTCCAGGTCTCCAAGTGGCTGAAGTATTATGGACTACTGGAAGGAGGCATCATCATCTAAATCTGAACTGTGGTGGTAACTCCTGAAAATAGGACTCTTTCTCTCTTAGGAAGAGAATTGGTGATAGTACCACTAAGTGTTTTCTCATCTATCCTATTGAGCAATGAGTGTCATGGCTCTCTGAGAAGACAGTACTTCCTTTATGGAAAAACTGGTACAGTCCTGTATAATCATCTCTTGTGAAAAAGACCATAAAGTTACTTTCACTCCTAAGATGCTGTTGAGGTAGTCTTGCCAAAACCATTGAATTCATTCTCTAATAGTGCATGACTGTGGTCTCCAGAGTTCCATGGCATGATATGGTCATAGATTCCATCCAGGGTATCACAGTGCCTGACTCAATCCAATTGTGTTTAGTGGTCTGATATGAGATAATGTATGGAGTACTAGGACATTCTCAAACCACATTCACTGTCATAGATTTCGTTCTAAACCCCCTTTAATCTGGTTGACTTGTGAAGTTCGCACCAATGTTTATATTATATCCTCACATTTTAAAATGCTGATGAAGGACTGACCGCCATGGAGCACAAGTCCTTCTTAAAGATCTCCACTCAGCTGTAGTCCGTTCAGGTTGAGTTCCAGTAAGCAAAGCTAAGGTCTATTAAGAGAATGAAAATAAGCAGGGTGTAGTGATGCATAATTTTAACCCCAAGGCTTAGGAGGCAGAGGCAGGTGAATCTCTGTGACTTTGAGGGCAGGCTATTTTACACAGTGAGTTCCAAGACAAGCAGAGCTACATAGTGAGATGCTGTCTCAGAGACAGGGAGAGAGAGAGTGACATATAGATACAGAGACAGAGATAGAGACAGACACACACTCACAGAAAATATGTGTGAGGGATGGAAGAAGAAAGGAAGAAAGAATTTTTAAAAATAAATGAATAGAAAAAATCCCAATCTAGAGCTGGAGATTCACCTAAGCAGTTAATTATTGCCTTCTCTTGAAGAGGACACTGTTTCAGTTTCTACTACCCACACAATATATTACTGACATCCATAACAGCAGCCTCAGTGTACTGTTGTACATTTTGACCTCTATGAACAACAGAAGGTCCACAATGCACAGATATATATTGAAGCAAAGCACCAGTAAATGTAATATTAAATAAATTAATGTTTAAAAATCTGATAACAGTGACTGGGGAAGTCTGCAGAGCTTCTCATCCCGGCCGGAGCCAACCACGCCAGATCCTAGGTCTTCTCTTCCAATAAGGAGACCAGGGTACCAGCTGGTCCGGGAGGACCAGGTAAAAGAGGTCCTGCATCTGGGCCTGTGTTCCAGTGCCTGGAGATTGCCTGGGAACTGCACAGAGCTTCCAATCCCGGCATGAGACCAGCACTCCAGATTCCACGTATTCTCTTCCACCAACGAGACCAGGAAACTAGCAGATCCACTTAAACAAGGCCCTGCATCCCTGGCTTGCTTTCCAGTGCCTGGGGAGAGCCATAGAGCTTCCCATCCTGGCCGGAGCACCCCAGATCCCAAGTCTTTACTTCCAGCAAAGGGACCAGGGGACCAGGTGGGAGGGTAAGCACCCCAGATTCCTGGTCTTCTTCTCCACCCACAGGAACAGAACCAACATGAGGAATAGAAGATCTACCAGATTATTGGACTTGCTAGCACCCACCAAAAGGGAACCCTGGTCCCCTAACCACCAAACTAGTAAGGGGCTCTTTCTGCACCCACTAGAAGAAGAGATGGGAAAGAGACAATACAAAAACGCTCTCAGCAGCAGTAAAAAAAAATATGACACCGCCAGATTCTAGAGACTACACATCAGCAATACTCCAACATTCCAATGCAAATGAAGCAAAAGAGAATAACCTTAAAAACAACTTCATGAAAATGATAGAGGCCCTAAAAGAGGATATAGGAAAATCCCTCAAAGAAATGGACGAGAAAACACAGCAAAAATGTAAGAAATGGAAGAAAAAGCAAACCAAAAAATGCAAGAAATGGAAGAAAAAGCAAACCAAAAAAATGCAAGAAATGAAAGAAAGAACAAACCAAAAAATTCATAAAATGCAACAAATGGATGAAAAGATAAACCGAAAATTGGAAGAAACAATTCAGACAGTGCAAGGGTTGAAAACTGAAATAGAGACAATAAAAAAACACAATCTGAAGAAAGGCTGGAAATAGAAAAGCTGGGCAAACGGTCAGGTACTACCGATACAAGCATTATCAACAGAATACAAGAGATGGAAGAGAGAATCTCAGGTGTTGAAGATACACTAGGAGAAATGGATTCATCAACCAAAGAAAATCTTAAGTCCAACAAATTCCCTACACAAAAACTCAGGAAATATGGGACACCATGAAAAGACCAACCCTAAGAATAGTAGGTATAGAAGAAGGAGAAGAAAGCCACCTCAAAGTGACAGAAAACATATTCAAAAAGATCATAGAAAAAAGCTTTCCCAACCTTAAAAAGGACATGCCAATGAAGGTACAAGAAGCTTACAGAACACCAAATAGAGTGGATCACAAAAAAGTCCCCTCGCCACATAATAATCAAGACTGCAAATATACAGAATAAAGAAAGAATATTAAGAGCAGCTAAGGAAAAAGGCCAAGTAACATATAAAGGCAAACCTATCAGAATTACACCTTACTTCTCCTTGGAAACTCTGAAAGCCAGAAGGTCCTGGATAGATATTCTACCAACACGAAGAGACCACTGATGCCAGTCGGGCCTAGACCGTCCCCCAAGAGTCCAGGGTGAGAGTGCATCTCTCATTGTTGGATGGGAGTCCAAAGTCCCTTTGTATAACCAGGATGAATACTGATCTACTACCCAATGTTCAATTGATCACCTAGGCCTCCTCACTGACACCCACATTCAGGGGGTCTTGATCAGTCCCATGCTGGATTCCCAGGCATCAGTCTGGGATTCAAGAGCTAACCCTTGTCAGGTCAACTGTTTCTGTGGTTAAACCATCCCAGCCTTAATGCCTTTGCTCATCTGTCCTCCCTTTCTGTCACTGGATTTCTTGAGTTCAGCTCAGTATTTAGCTGTGGGAGTCTGACTCTGTTTCCAACAGCCATTGAATGAAGGTTCTGTTTCCCAGACACTCTGGTCATGGGATTGTAGGCTGGCACTCCCCAGATCTATGTCTAAAATCCATATATAAGAGAGTTCGTGCCATGTTTCTCTTTTTGTGACTAGGTTACCTTGCTCAGGATAGTTTCTTCTAGTGCCATCCATTTGCCTGCAAATTTCAGGATTCCGTTCTTTTATCTGCTGAATAGTAGTCCATGGTGTAAATGTACCACATTTTCTCTATCCACTCTTCAGTTGAGGTGCATCTACATTGCTTCCAAGTTCTGCCTATTACAAATAATGCTCCTATGAACATAGTGGAACAGACATCCTTCTTGTATGAATGTGCATCTATTGGATGTATGCCTAAGAGTGGAGTTGCTGGGTCTTGTGGTAGACTTATTTCCATTTTTCTGAGGAATCTCCATACTGATTTCCAAAGAGGCTGTACAAGTTGGCACACCCACCAGCAGTGGAGGAGTGTTCCCCTTTCACCACAACCTCTCCAACATAAATTGTCATTGGAGTTTTTGATTTTAGCCATTCTGACAGGAGTGAGATGGTATCTCAGAGTTGTTTTGATTTGCATTTCCCTGATAACTAAGGATGTTGAGCACTTTCTCAAGTGCTTCTCAGCTGTTTTAGACTCCTCTATTGAGAATTTAGTTCAGTCCCCCAATTTTAATTCATTCCTTTGGTGTGTTGGAAACTTGTTTCTTGAGTTCTTTGTAAATTTTGGAGATTAGCCCTCTGTCAGATATGGGGTTAATGAATAACTTTTCCCATGCTGTGGGCTGCCTTTTTGTCTTGCTGACTGTGTCCTTCGCCTTACAGGATGTCCCATTTATTAATTGTTCATCTCAATGTCTGTGCTACTGGTGTTATGTCCAGGAAGCTGTCTCCTGTACCAAT